TCTGAAAACTTGGAAGGGACCGTGAAATCCGTCAGTTCCATGGAATACTTAGGATTCTGTTGGACTTTGGGATATTTGCGTAAAATCCCTCGGTGAGGTTTTTCCTGATGCCCGCCCGCCCCCGCCCCCCCCGTCCCGCCCGCCCCCGGCCCGCCCGCCCATGGTCTGAATGCATGCCAACGTTAATGGTTGGGAGCGCTGGATCAGACTTTTTCAGCGTCGGAGGGGCCTCAGTCACAGATTCCATTGGCTCACGATAATGTCTACTAAGCAAGGCAGCCTCGCTACGCTGCAGCCTTGGAGCTCTTGGCCGACCTTATCACTTAGTAAAAATCGCTGTTCGATTGCTTTGGAGAAAACTCGAAGACGAGTAGAAGACTCATTGCTCGTGAGTGTCTGTCGTGCAGTCCAGACTTCAGAGTCCTACATCGTACACTGATACCGAGCACTGACGTTATTTCACACCCAAACACAGAGCTGTCATTCGTTAAGTACACTCGAAAGGTGGGAGGGAAGTGAGCTACTATTCCGGAACCCGCAATGAAATCCGTCACTCGCAATGAAATGAAATCAGGTATTTTGTTCCCCTCTCTCGCTTCAGGCCCTCGACCAGCCCTGTTCTTGGTTGTGAGACACAGTATAGGTCTTCTGAAACCACATACGAAGCCTCGAGCTGTGATGTGTCCATACAACTTCGCCACACCAATGCCGCACGAGAGTCACGGTTAACCTTTGTTTCCCTGCTTCGGGTTTGCAGCGAACACCACTCGTACAGAACATCTTGGTTTCCCTCAAAACTTTGGTATGCGTCACCTATGGCATGGAATATGAAGGCAATCAAGTTTGGTAGCAAACGAGATACAGGAAGGTACCTCCCCTGAGCAGTTTTATGAAAATAAAAGCCAAATTCTCGTGTATTTGGTACCTAGCGTCTGCAATTTTCATTTCCCCACCATGCCGTGCGATACAGTCATAGAATAGTTACATTTGATCGCCCATGTTCAACTTTGTGGGTATATACCATGGGACAGGGGAGGGATAGTCAAATCCAACTACATTTCATTGCGGGTGACGGTTTTCATTGCGGGTTCCGGCATAGTAGTATGGAAGAAGAGAGCAGCAACGCGCTTCATTTATACGTTGTAGCTGAACCTATATTCGGTAGGTTTGAGTCAGACACGTCAGGCTGTGCTGTTGCTGAAAAGTGGCGCAGCGCCTCCCAGGGCGGTTTGTGCCTCAGGACCTAGGACATATGTGGAAGGTGAGATAGGTGCCATCAAAAATTCGTCCACAATCTTGAGGATACGGGTCATGGGCTGCCCCGGCATGATTATAGAGTGTAAGCAAGGTCGGCTCATTCGAGAATCTGGTTGCACTCGTGAGCCGAGGTCCGCTGAACCACGTAGTCGCAATGTGTACCCGTGAGCACGAACATTCACTTCGTCCGTACGTTGGATGTATGATGTCCATAGAATTATCAAGGTATATGCATGCTACCACTGCCAGAGTACTTCAGAGGTAACGGGCGTTGCTCACGACGTAGGGTCCTTAAAAAGTAGGTGGAGAAACATTGTGCAACGGGTTACGGTACGCTGGGCGGAGTCTCTTCAGAGACATGGACCAGCTACCACACTGTCAATTGCTCAGAGACACATTACAAGAGATATAGCCGGGTACATCAACGTACCTCTGAGTTGGATTCATCCCTCTTGCGCTTCTCGCCTGTGTCAGGTTCATCTCGGGCGCCTTCGTGATATCTACCGATATCGCTCCGCGATAGAAGTCCACTGTGTGCATTTGAGGCTGTATCCGGGCGCCCAAAAACAGCCAATCCTGTCTCTACCAGCAAAAGGATGGACAGCGCACGGCGGGTGAATTGGTCTTCCTCGCCTAGGGAAGTGAGCAGGGCTGTGATAGACGGGGCATCGACGTGCTCATCTATGTCGATGCCATGTTGGTCCAGAAGACGAGATCGAATGGAGGAAAGTAGGCACAAAAACTTGCTTCTCCAGCGACGTCCCACACGGATTGGAGATGACGCAGACGTTCCCAGATCGCACTCGTCCTGAGCATGTTCCACCCGAGCCTTACTGTCCCCCTCAGCTTTGCTGCCGCCTTCCTGGACGTCCCCATCTGTGTGACTCTGATCCTCCATCTCAACGTCAGCTTCTCCCTGACCCTCTGCCTCGAACATAGAGTCAGACTGTTCCCCATCGTTGTCACCGTTGTTATCCTGCTTCCGTTTGCCAAGAAGTACCTTGCTCGGAGATCCGGGACCCTCGGTGCCAATGTCTGTCCGATAACGAC